GAGTGGAGGAGGGGTGAGGGAGGAGGGGTGCGGGTGGAGACGAAAGGGAGGATACACGCGAGCAGACTACGCCGAAGTGTTTTCACTACTCGCGTATAAAAGCCCCGCCCCCACTTTCACAGCTGGTCGATTTCAACAGAGGAAAACAGACAACTGGAAGATGAGTGGAAAAGCGTCACATAAATGTATAAGTGCTCACAGCTCCGTGGGAATTATTATGTGCAATTTATTTCTGAAAGTCTTTCACATTACTATAATTATAGTTTTATTTAAATGTAGGCTACATTTTACACCAAAACGGAACACAAAAGCAGGACCAACCATCATACATTGAATTCCTTGACTAACAAGAGAAAGATTCATTCATTTAAATAAATATTTAACAACAAATGGGCCGGTTCTAAAGGGTTATTCAGTTGAGCCCGATGAGAGGGGATACAGCTGTGCACATGTCATCATTAACAGACGTCGTTTAAGAGTGACGTTTGAGTGAACGAGGACATCCCAATTAATAACTGAGGACTCCTCTGTCCTCGCGTCACCTCCTCGTGTCTCTCGCTCGCATCTTACGGAGGCGGAGCTAAGACGCAAGGAAGGGAAGCGAGTGAGGGAAAGGAGGAGTCGAGGAGGGGTATTGGGATGAGGCTCGGGTGTTAGATCTTAGGAGGCCTTGTCAGCTCAGTTTTCTCCATCTCAAAAATCCACAGAGAATTCCTTCTGTCGATATGACAGTCTGCAACCAAACTCCCAGTTGTATCGTCCCCTTAAAACCCAGAATTTAAAACAAATTCAATTCAAATAGAACTTCAATCGTCCAGGAGGAAATGTGTTATGATTTCAACCCTTGTTTTCCGTGTGTTGCTCCGCCCTTCCAGCGTATGGAGGGCATGCTGAGCGGCTTCCAGTGCGACCTGTCCTCCATCAGCAGTGAGATCCAGACCCTGCAGCAGCAGTCGGTCAGCATGAACGTGCGGCTGAAGAACCGGCAGGCGGTGCGCAGCCACCTCAGCCAGTTGGTGGACGAGCTGGTGGTGCCCGGAGCCATGATCTCGTGAGTGGGGGGGGGAGAGCTGGGGCTCCAAACAGCTGTTAAAGGGATAGCATTGATTGTTTAAAGTAAGGCTGTATGTATACTTGTCCATAGTCAGTGACCACCTCCAGTTTAAGAAGCCGACAGGAGCACTAACAGTAAGCCTAGCAATGTAATGCTGTGGACATAGCCCCCAGTAAATGAGGCGGGGGGGCAGAGCGCTGCAGCAAATTTAGCAGTGGTTAAAGGGTGGTACTGCCCCTTTATTCTGCATGTTGAAATAGCACAGTTCAAACCAATTTTCTAAACTTTGCTATTCAGCATTAATAGCTTATTAATACTAATAAAACACTGTGTATTGTAATATTCATGTTATATATGTTTCTACTTTAACCTCTATTTTCATTTTTTCTTTTATCGGACATTTTACTTAACTTCTTATTTTTATACTAATATTTGATTCTATTATATATTTGTATTGCGCACTTCCTTTAATATTTTATTCTTAAATGGATCAACGGTCCTGAAACCCTGTTTGCCCTGGGATAAACAAGGGTTTCTGATTATATACATGTAAAGGAACTTACAATTGCTTTACTTCCATGCTAGTGTTCTTGTTTATAAAACTGAAGGCTAGCCAACTGCCATCTATTGTAGATAAAACCCAATGGCTAAGTACCTGATCCATCCCTCTTAGCGTGTCCATGAGGAGAATGTTGATCTGATGTTATCTCTTGTCTGCGCAGCACCATCCTGGACAGCCCTGTGACGGAGCAGGGCTTTCTTGAGCAGCTGCACGAGCTCAACAACAAGATCAACTTTGCCAAAGAGCTGAGCTTCAGAGAGACGCTGGCCTGCTCCGACATCCAGGACATCGTGGACCGTCTCAAACTCAAGGTGAGACGGAAAGGGGAGGGTCTAAGAAACTCCACGGTTGATATGTTGGTTCTTTAAATTGCAACATTCTTTTACAGAATATTTAAGGCTGCAAGTACGGGGTTAATCAGCCGGTGGTTTAAAGAGGCCCTATTGTTCTTCATGGAGTTCTCCCTCTCCTCTAGTGTGTTCTATAAGTTCTGTGCCTGTAAATGGTTAAAGTCTCAAATCCCTGTGTTCCCTCCAGAGGGAGTTTCTCTCCCACACACTTTTTTAAAGCGGTTCCTTAGTTAAAAAATAGTCAGGGATTATGGGTACATGATATATATTATTCATATATTTCTACTGCCGGGTACCATTTACAAGTGTTAACATTTCAATTGTTCTACATCAGGGGCAACGTGAGTCGCCCGCCGGGCATGTTCTAAAAATTGCTCGCCAAGTAAATCCAAAATGTATAAAATACACAAAACAAAAAGGAAATGTAATTAAAAGAATCTACCCTATGCATAAACGAAACCTAAATCATAGCAAACTCTATCTACTTACAACACATGTGTCAAACTCAAGGCCCGGGGGCCAAATCAGGCCCTTGGTGGAT